GTATCATTGATTTTTGTGTGTGTTTTACCCAGTGTTAATATGTATTAACAATTACAGAAGTTGTGGATTAACCTTGTTAGCATTGAAGTAAGGGAGACCATACTGTATCATGAGAAGTGTCTCAAGTGGATCACCTTCGATGTTTGTTAAGTGGTTCACCTATGGAATGCCATAGGACTTTCGGTCTCAAGTTGATGTGAGTTACAAGTTTTGGTGCCATGTTAAGGTGTTGCATAGTGTTGTATTGTACCATTGATCAATTCAGGTGGTAGTAATACAGGAGAGTAGTTGTGTTAAGTGGTTCGTATTTTTCTTTGGTCGAGTGGTAGTATTTTTAGGACAAATGGATAAGCCAGTAGAACAGGAAAGTACCACAGTTGGTGACACATTGGCAGAGAGGTTTGAGCAGGCTATGTCAGTCATCACCAAGAAACGGGTAGAGCTAGGGTAATTGCAGAGACACATTAGGGACCTAGAACAAAATTCACTCAGGAAGTGACAAGAGAATATGGAAAGTTCATTAATGTTTTTGGTGGTTCTAGAATAGTCATTGCAGATAATGGAAGAGAAGTTACGGCTGAAAAGTTTAGAGAATTGTGTCGAGTAACTGGCATTAAGACATATTTTACATTACCTTACTGGAGATGTTCAGGGTACCTGGTTCTAACTACAGGGGCGAACATAAACACCTGTAGAGTTCTGTAGGTTCTTATTAACGGAAATATACAAGGTGCGCTTACAAGCGCGGGTAGTCCTTACACTCCTATAGGGGTCAACTAACCTCACTCTGACCTCTCAGGCGACATGTGGTAAGTGGTACATTAGCAGCTTCCAGATGTCGCCAGGCACATTTATCTAAGCGTGTGGTGACATGAAACAGGGGCATTGCCACACGCTACTGACTAGAGAAATAATGTGTATATATAGAGTACATACATGGTATACATACAACATACATAATATACATACACCTCCCCTCCCCCTATACGCTCATAGCAAAGTCTTGAGCGGACCTTTTCCTGTGGATCCGTTCTGAGCGTTGAGGGGCTTAATCACTAGGGGGGGGGGATATGGGACTCAGCACTGGTGATGGGGTCGTGGATGGTTTGGGCGGAGGCGGTTCCTCCACCATACTGATCTGGGTAGCACCTGGAGTGCGTGACTGCAAGACCTTGACTACATCCACTTTGTCCTGCGTGGGGTCGGGTCCTGGCTCGGGATTTGGGTGTTGGCTTCAACCTGGGGAGGGCTTGGCGTGGTCGTTGGGGGTGTCGGGGTCGTTGGGCATAATCTTCTGTGTTGGCCTGCCACTCCTTGGGAAAGGATTGGGGTGAGCAGGTACGAACGGGGCGTCAGAGACCTGGGTGGGGAGTCTGTGGTAATTGGGTGTGTTGCTTGGGGTTAAAGGAGACCCTGGTCAAGGCCTTCAGTCAATATTCCCGGAAGGGGATACTTTGAGGATGAGGTGTTTGGGGATTGTGCTGGTCAGGTGGCCGTTGGATTTTGGCGGGTAATTGGGGTGACAACACATGCGGACTTCATCGGTCGGGCGTAGCAAAGTCGGCATGTAGACAGGGCCTGATTTGGTTCGTGGGGTACAGAAACACGTAAGGGTAGTGGTGGAACTTAGTGGCTGTAGTTGTATTTGGCTTGATGACAACCTGTCGGCGATATAACCAGGAAGTATTCTCTGACACAGAGAAGTCGGGCACTGACTCAAAGGGGCGGGTGGGGTTGTGGTACTCATGAAGGGTTTCTTGCTGCTGGCTGGGTTGTAGTATTTTGGGGCTTGCGCGCTGGAGGTTGGATGTGTGGGGGTCGTGCCAGGTGGAACACGTTCTGTTGCGTGGTTTTGGCCTCGGCTCCATGGTGGCTGTCGTGGAGGCGAGTGAGTGTGGGATTTGAAGCGGGAATCTGAAGGAGTGTTGGCTAGTGGTGGGGGTAAGGGGCGGCAGGGTAGTTGCTGCTCGCCGTGCGCCCTGTTGGCGTATTTTACCTGGAGATGGGTGTTAAGTCCTGGGAGATGATGGCAACTCTTGGCACAGGAAAGGTCGGGACACCATTATGCCGCGTAATCAGGCTTGACACGCTGTTGGAGGGTGACATGTGCATAGGGTGAACCTAGGGTTGGGGCTAGTCTGTGAACCATCTACTGTGATGGGAGGTCGTTGGGGAGGCGTCCTAGATCGTTTTGAGAGGCTTAGCATTGCAAATGTTGGTGACCGGTGACTATAGCTCGCTGGTGTGGGAGCATCTCGAGACAGGGTGACATGCAGTGGGTGATTTAGGGATGTTGGCGTGCTTGGGACTTTTGGTCTGGTGGGCGGCCCTCACTGGTGGAAGGCGCTGCTGCTTTCTCTTCGCTGTCCCTTGGGTTTTTGGTCGGACAACAGTTGTAAAGTGGCAGACGGCCACACATTGCACTGGGCGTGTTTGGCTGGGTACAGTGCTGTAAGTGACCAGTGGTCCTTGGGGTCACAATAGCGGGAGTGGGCTTGGCCGCTGGACACACCTGTGTTCTGTGCTGCCTACCACAGCTGTTGCAAAGGAGCCGGGCGTGGTGGGCGTGGGCGTTGAGGCAGACTCTTGTCTTTCTTGTTTGGGACATAGCCCGTTCTTGGCTGTGGGGGAGCTCGGATGGCAGAGGTAGCACACCTGGCAGCCTGGTGGTAGGACACTGTCAACACATCCTTAAGAGGAGGGAGGAAGAGTCGAAGGAGGTGAGGGTTGGTTCAGCTCCTGGTCCTTAACACCCATGGGATCACCTGCTTCAACTGGGTCTCCTCTTGAGTAAATGCGTGAAATCATCAAAGTCTCGCCCTCCATCTGTCTACATCTAAGCACTTCCCTCCTGCGGAGAGCTTCATTCCGCTGACCTTTGATGTGTGTTTCTAGAACATCCAGTACCTCCTCTCCCAGAGAAAAAAGAGTGCTTGCAATGTATGTTCCAACACATGCTGCGTTCCCCAAAGACAAGCACATACTTAGCTGAATGAGTTGTTTGGGCTGTGGCAATCTCTGGAGATCCACCATTTAGCTCAATCAGTCCACATCGCCGCCACTCACAAAGTCTGGAAAGTCTCATCAGGCTTCAAGGTGGGTGGGGTTGGTTTCTATCCACTTTGATAGAGGCGTTGGGATGTATCTGAGCCAGTCGGTACCTTGAGTAGTGGAAGGGCTAGGGGCTTGATCACCAGTGAGGCTAGATATCAAAGCTACAGCCTTTCGTTATCTTCCAATCTCCTTTGGTGGTCCTCAGCATGTCTTTACGCCGTCCTGATGCCTCTCCTCTCTCATAAGCTTCATCAGAGCAATTATCTCTGAGGACAAGGCTGAGGTCGAGGGGTGTGGCTGGGAGAGGGTGAGGGTCGCGCACTGACTGGTCATCCATCTCTGTAGAGCTGTCATCCGTCTGATTCATCTGTATATTGTATCTCAAATAAGTGTTGACCGTCAGCCAGTCATATCAACCACATCTGAGACAACAAATTTATTGAATACACAAATAAGTAACTTATATATATAAAATATATATGAAGAAATGACCGCGGTCAGTGTGTTCGTGCTTGGGTTGGTGTGTGTAGGCGCGGTGGAGCGCGGAGGGAGGCGAGGCGGTGGGGGGTGAGCAGTGGAGGGTGAGTTACCCTCGAGGCAGCCTGGGACGGTCACGCTGACGCACCACTCTTCACAAATGCCCTATATCAGCCTTCCACCTTAGGGAATCCTTTAAAACAAGGACACACACTTTAACACTACACACACACGAGGGGCACTTAAAGACACTTCACAGGAAATTGCGGTCACTGCACACTGCTCAAAACTCGATGGTCATTCAAACGAATTTTTGGGAGAGACAATGGCGACGGATGATGGAGGTGACGGAGGAGGTCTACCGGCCTTGATTTTACACGAACGCACTTATTTCCACTTAATCGATCACTTGATACTCACTGCGCCATGGAGAGGTTCGGGGTACTTGGTTCTAACTACAGGGGCGAACATAAACACCTGTAGAGTTCTGTAGGTTCTTATTAACGGAAATATACAGGAGTGCGCTTACAAGCACAGGTAGTCCTTACACTCCTATAGGGTCAACTGACCTCACTCTGACCTCTCAGGCGACATGTGGTAAGTGGTATACTAGTAGCTTCCAGATGTCGCCAGGCACATTTATCTAAGCTTGTGGTGACATGAAACAGGGGCATTGCCACACACTACTGACTAGAGAAATAATGTGTATATATAGAGTACATACATGGTATACATACAACATACATAATATACATACATTACCCTGACATTAATTTCCTAACCTCCTCCATTTGATTCACTTTGCCACTCAGTTTCGTTCCAATTACAGATAAATCCACTCCCTGACAACCTAATAACCGAAAAAGCTCATATTCTTCATTCATGAGTGTAGCTTCTCTATATTAAGCTACATTTCTGTACCTTGCTATAACTTAACTCCTTGTGTAATGAATTCCTTTCTAGTGTTAGTCAAATAAAATATTAAGAGTGGCATCCCTGTAAGTGAAGGGGTTAATGGAAGAAGCAAGAAATAATGATATACTTGAGTTTCTGAATAATTGAGAGGATAGAGGGTGTAAAATACAGTCAGATGAAGTGGGTAAAAAAATATTTCAGGTATAACATGAACATATATAAGGATGCCAGAGCACAGGTTAAAGACTTACATAGTGGTACCTTGGTCTGGAGGCTCTACTACCATGGCTAAACCCTCAAAGTGGAGATCTTGGGTGAGTGAGGCATCTGAGTCAAGATTAACACAGTAGACCAAACTCAAGAGGTACAGTCAAAGAAAATAGTCATGTTACCCCCCTCCCCTAGTGTTATGTTCCAAAACCTATGACTAAGAATTTGGGTAAAGTGACAGTAATGCTTGAGGTTCAAACCTGAACGAGGAACTTTACCAAAATTCTTTGTCATGGGTTCCAGAACATAAGGCACACTAAGTGTAACGCAACTTTTTTCTCTGACTGTACATAAAAAATGGTGGTGCAAAAATACAGGACCATGACAATTTTCATCCAATTCTCTTACACTTTACCTCACTTCTGAACCAAAACATCACAATTACTCACTTTTACCAAGCTGGAGGGAGCAACCACAATAGTCTTTTCTATTGTGGGTCGACAGTCTGGTCCCTGCCTGAGTAGTGTCCACATGAGGGTGATGCACTGTAGGGTCTTCCCCAGCCCCATCTCATCAGCCATAATGCATCCATAATTTTCTTCAATCTGTTTCCCAGTGACACAGTCATACATAAACTTGACCCCCTGGAAAATTCAGTTATATTTGACTATGGTGTAACTTAAACATATTACATTATCATGTAGCCTTAGCATAACTGAAAATGCTCAACACTGGTCAGCACTGGGAATATATCCCTTAACTGTGTCAATGAGATCTACTGCCTGGGTGATGAGATTAGTGCTAGACATGGTGCTGAAGCTAGATCATTTGCAAGTCATTAATAGGATGGAAAAATTTTTGGGAGCTGTTTCCTTTATTGACAGCAAGAGGACCTTCTCTTTGTGTGAAAGGAATGATGTACAATATGTAGCCAGCATGAGAAGTGTGTTGTTGTATGGCAGTGAGTCATAGGAACTTAAAGAGGATGAAGTGTGTAGACTTGAGCGTGCTGATTTGAGGATGGTGAGGGTTGAAAAGCCCTGTTTAGAGCTGGAAGGGTGACTGGGTGTTGTGAGCATTGGTGGGCTAGGATAATTAGGGCATGTGGAGAGAATGGAGAAAATACTGTATGGGTTAAAATATGCATGAGTTTGAGTGTGGGGAGGAGGAGAGCTGGGAGTTGGTCACAAGTGACATGGGGAGAGGTTGTGAGAAGTGACCTTAAAAATAAGAACATGAAAGAAGGGCTGCAAAAGACTATGCACTCTAACCCACACAAGTGTAGAAAATACAAGTGATGATGATGATAATTTTAGATGTACAGTAAACCATTGTTATAATGGACACTATATTATGGACCTCAGTTATAACAGACACCCTAAACCTATCAGATAAACCCTCAAGATAACAGACAGATGTCCATTATCCCCAAGGAGTTGTCTAATAGTTTGTCACTGCATAAAGACCATGTACCCAGTACAGTGGGGTATGCTATAACGAACGGATCCTACTACGAATATTCCTATAACGAACGGTTTTACCTATAAAATTGAGAATGCTATAACGAACGAAACTCCTACAACGAACATTATTTATTTATTTATTTATTTTATTTATTTATTTTTTTTTACTAATTTATTGTTTTTTATTACAAGTATTACTGATACTCATTATTTCAGGGGTTTAGATGCATATTTATGCACTTTTTTACAATTTTTACAATTTTATATTATATTTTTCAGTGTTAAGTGGTTGTATTTGGGGGCCTGGAACGGATTAATCCTATAACGAACGAATGCTATAACGAACAAGGTTCTAGAACCAATTAGATTCATTATAGCATACCCCACTGTACTTGTACATGTGTACACACTTATTAACCCTCAGTTGGTCATTAACATTCAAGTAGGTGATCGCCGATGTCACTATCTTTGGTCATTCACGTACTAGAATGTATTCTAAATATACTTTTCCTGTGTCTTTGATACTGAGTCTAGCTACCATAATCTGTTGGCTGGTGGTGTCTGGCATCTTGTGTAAATGTTTCCTGCCACTCGGCATTGAGGACCCCCCCGCCCCTCTCCCTCCCCGGGCCACGATTTTTTTTTTATGGGGATTAGCCCATCCAGGCACAAGTCACCGACCCACATTGGGACCTGGGGGAGCAAAAATATAATAATAAGAAGAATAAATAAAAATTATAATAATAATAATAATAATAATACTGTAATAATAATAATAATAATAACAACAACAACAACAATAATAATAATAATAATAATAAAAATAAAAATAATAATAATTTAATAATAATAACAAAGAACCATAAATACAAAACTGAAAAAAAGTCAAGAGTGAGAAACGATATACAGTATGTATGTTGTGTTGTCAATAGTAAGAGAAACAATTGAGACCCTACAATTGTGTGTAAATGAGGCAGAAAGTCAGATCAGCAACCTGGGACTTTGAACTGGCCCTTAACCGTTGATTCTTGAGGGTTAATGAGCTTGGAAATGTAAGAGTATTTAGGGTTTTTAGTAGCAAAAACCCAACTGTCTTTTCTGTATATATTAAGAAAATATATTATAAACAGTTCCAAGTGTATATCACCATAACTTAATCACTGTAGCTATGAGTGTTAAATGAGGACGGAGGCTATGTTAAATAGCTCTTATAAAATACGTCCTGTTGGTGTGAGGGTTTGAGTAAGAGTGCCTGCAGTAGCCGGCTTCTATGACCTGACCTAGCATTTTAGGGCCGCTCTTCAAGGAACTTACCCATCACGTGATGTGACCATGTTACCTCATAGCCAGTGGAAAGTTACAGGGGGTGATATGATTATATAAACTGAATGCACAGCCCGACATATGCATAAACACTAAGGGGCTGATACAACTCGGTCACAGTTTTTGTTATGCCATATAGCAGCAGGGTCCACCATAAAGAACACATTATGCTTCCAATATCTTCCTAGGAAGTAGTACCTCCCTGTTTGGCAGCTGCCTACTACCTACGCAGGAGACTCTAGATAGCCATGGCACGTGAACCTAACTTAATCAGGATGACATATACTCTGAATTATTTGGTATTGACAGAGAGCCATGTATTGATAGTGATATTGAAAGTGATGATAATGATAGTGACCTGGACTAAGTGTTTGGACAAGAAGCAAGCAATGATGACGACGATGATGATGATGAGTGGAGGAGAGAGGGTTGGTGCCTTCCCCATCTCCAGCAACATCCAGTACTCCCTCCACTTCATTGACTCCTACCACTCCATCCCACTGCTTGGTTACATCCACCCACAATCCTACACTAGCTCCCTCCCATACTCCTTCCTCCCTCTCACACTGCTTCTTTCCTCCTGCACTGCTTCCTCCCTTCCACACTGTTCCCTCCCTTCCACACTGCTCCCTCCCTCCCACACTCCTTCCTTCCTCCCACACACTTCCTTCCTCCCTCTCACACTGTTTCCTCCCTCTCACACTGTTCCTTCCACCCACACTGCTCCCTCCCTCCCACACTGTTCCTTCCCTCTCACACTGCTCCCTTCCTCCCACACACTTCCTCCCTCCCACACTTCTTCCTCCCTCCTACACTGCCTATCACCATGATAATCTAAGTACAAAATAAGCAAATAATATTAGTAAAAATGTAAGGAAAATAAACCCAAAGGGACGGAAAACACTTCCCCCAACCTTGAGTGTGCAGCGTTCCCGCTTGTAATAAAAAACATCCACATGTTTAGTGCATAAATCTTTTAGGTTCATTTACTATGCTGCCCTTACAATTCGTGGATTTTTAATTTGCGGCCCTTGATTATTTGCGGATAACACCCTGGATGTACCCAAGAAGTCTGCGGGTAGTTTTAAAGTTGCCGGCATTTTCGCGGCCATATTTCACTGGATTTACTGTTATTAATAGTGTTTACAGTATTTAATCATAGCATTGTAGTTAACTCATCATTGTAACCACCAGGCTACTGGGCCAAGCTGTGAGGAGTTATGGTTTTTTCAACTCTGGTTTTAGGGTACAGGAAAAAGTCCAATAACAACGGTTCTACTAATGACGATTCATATTTAAGACCCTGGTTAATTTAGGACCCAATTCAATTTACACCATTACTTTCTTTGTATTCACAACGAAAAAAAAAAAAAAAATTAAATTAAATTAAATTTTAATATACTGTACTGTAAATAATAACAAAATCCCGATATGTATCAAAAAAAATAAAAAAACACGCCATGCGCACAGAGGCTACTGGGCTTGTGAGTGGTGACGCAACTTGGCGGGCCTTTTGTTTTCACGCATCTGAACAGGAAAAGGAGAAAAACATTCTCAGGTTTCTTACAGCATTTTTGCATCCCTATTCAACATGAGCAAGAGAGCAAGTAATGGTAGTGCTGGTTCAAAAGCTAAAAGAAAGTGTATAAGCTTAGCCAAGAAACTAGAAATGTTAAAACGATATGAAAAAGGTGAGAGGTGTTTGTGGATAATATATGAAGCAAGCAATGACCATATTTTCTGAAGTGGATCCATTAACAGAACAAAGCATTAAAATTAACAGGGACATGAAAAATGCATATGACCTCGACCTAAGATGTATAATAAGAAAAGAAAGCAGCTGTGCAAGGTTCTTTTTACAGCTTTATTATTCGAAGGCCTAAACCATCAACTTAAGCTACACCAACAAATTCAGCAACATAAGCAGCTTCAGCAACAGCTATGACATCTTTATGGAAAGCCACAGCTTCAGCCAGAGCTGAACCTGATGACTTCGTCATCTGATTGAAAACTCGCACAACATTCACTGGCTGTCCTTATGTTTTAGACTTTACCACCATTGGTGAGTAGAATTTTGGTTTTACATTAGTAAGTACTGTATTATTTAGAACATATATGAACAGTAATAAAGTGTTGCTTTCATATTCTTATGTACAGAAATGACGATGTTTTCACACTTATGCACTTACCTAAGTTGCCACCCCCACCCCCATCAACAAATTATATTTGCGGATTTGGCTATTCACGGCCATTTTGAAACCCAAACCCCTGCGAATTTTAAGGGCATGCTGTACTGTGACAGGACTGGGAGCCAGTAGACTTGACAATACTGCACCTGCAGGATTTAAATGGCAATCAGCATTTTAAACGAGGCGAGTTGCCACTTCTACTAGTATTTCTTGTTTTCTTAGGTCATTTTGGGGTGTTTGGGCCATAAAAAAAATATATATATGTATTACTTTACCCAACCTGGGGGGTGGGGGGTTAACCGTGTATGTATAATATGTGACATTTTACGGGTTAAATCACTGAACAGTATTGTGCACTCGCTGTAACTTTTTACATACTACACTCAAGTATACAGTACACTTAAAATGTCTTGTATATTGTAACAGTTTGTGACCACACAGTGGAGTACAACGGAGGTGGTGTTTACAGATTGGGCCACTCTTACAAACTGAGACTCCGGTACGGCCTCTCTGGCTAACAGAATGTTTATTGGGATTAGCAAACATTGTCAAACATAGGTTTTAACAGACTTTTCACTTTAGCAACCAAGATGTCTGCCAAATTTGTCTGTTATCCAGAGAGTTTACTGTACAGAGGGTCCCCGACTTACGAATGCCCGCCGATACGAATGAGGTTAAACTTGAAATTTACATTATTTTATTTACCTGATGACTTATTTTTTACTTTCATTTACTGTATTTAGTCATGTGTTCCAACTTACGTACAAATCCGATTCAACAAAGTCTTCAGGAACGGAACCAATTCGTAACCCGGGGACCCCTGTACAGTTTAAGGACTTTAAAGTGACAGATATTTTGGAGGATCTACTGTACACATGATAAAAATGTTTTTTGTCCATGTGGGTCCAATGATTTCCTAAATGATCAATACAGCACTGTACAGTAAAAACGTGATACTAATTTAAAGTAATAGGAGATTTTACAAAATATGAGGGACACCTCCAGTGGGATAAACAAAACAAAACACTGGGCAATGATGGAAAAACAAGTGGAAAAAGCTTGCGGGGTAGACTGTAGATGTGCACACAACGACTGACCAACATGAACTGAGACACGCGTGATGCATATACCTGTAGTGCTTGTTTACACTAAGGCAGGTGGTTGCATCCCATGGCAACATTTTGCATTATATATACTGATTCACTATCCTCACTACTTGCCCTTGACACCCTCAACTCAAGTTGTCATGTGCTTGTCTCTGAAGCCAGACACAAATATGCATACCTTGTTGACCGGGGTGTCAAGATCAAACTGTTGTGGATCCCCTCTCACATAGGCCTCAAAGAACATACAGAGTTGATGCCCTCGCCAAACTCACATCTAACAAAGACACTGTTGAATACAATTTGGGTCTGTCAAAAAGAACCCTTAAAACTATAAATAGGAAATAATTTGTTGATGAATTTAACTCAAGTAAACAAGTTCAAACAAGAAATAGTCAATCCATTGTTTACCAAGCAGATGTGAACAAAACTAAGTGTAAAGTCTGTGAAGATAGAACCTTTTAGGGACAGGTCCAAGCAAACTGTGTGTGAAATAGCACACTTCATCTCTAATGGTAATACTATAGCCAACAAATTAAGATTGCATCCATTTTTTTGCACTCCGCAGCTATATCATTTCCCATGTATAGAACCAAACACACAATGTGTTTGAATACCTTGCAAATGTGAATAATAAAATGTGTGGCCAGACATATTGCTTCACACGGCTGTACGAGTATTCGTGTAGTTGCAAATAAATCACCCTCTATGTACAGAACTAAACATAGAATTTATTTGATATACTGTATTGTACTCTAACATTCAATGCCATAATATCCTGACCATTGGGGACTGTTATACACACCCTTTGTGACCTCTACTCTGTAATCCTTTTGTGCTGCTGCTCACAGGATGAGCGTGGGGGTGCACAATAAATTCCTACTAAGAGGCAAAATTTAAATTAAAAAAATAACCAACATGAACCACGCTACTCATTGTTTGCAAGATTACTCGATTTTCTTCTGAATATGCATATAATAACAATACTTTCTATGGATAAAGCTGGAAATTTTGCTAGCAAGTGATATAACAACATTTTGCAATATCCATCGTCTGTGGTGTCAAAATGTTTCACGCGATATGTGCACAAATACTTTCTTGATCGTGTGTACATAAAAATGTATACTGTACAGTATAAGGGTTATTTAAATTGAATATAATGGCAGTAACTTTATATAATGGGTAACACAAATACTCAGACAATTACTACACACCTCTCGCTGGTGAGGACGCAAGACAGCAGAGAGCATTGGGTCAACCACAACTGCTACTTCCTGCTTCTCCCTGAGAGTAGGAAAAAAAGTTACTCAAAGACTTCTATTAACAAATAAAGTTTTGTAGTTACATCTTATATAATTAGAAAAACTTTCAAACAGATCATATTATACAACACATATCAAGCTGTGATCATAAAAGTTACTTCCTATCTAATCTATAAAAATTCACGAAACGAAATGCATCTAAATACAGGGCTGCCTCACTTATCGCAAAGGTTACGGGCATGAAACTCATTGCGAATATCGAAATTGCGAATAGCGGAGCAATTTCTCCCATAAGAAATAATGTAAATACATATAGAACATAAATTAGATAAAGAAACAAGGGCATAATATCAAATAAACATCAATAACAAACACTTTGAGTTTATTAGGTGTATATGTTTACAAGTACAGTATACTTTACATGTTTGAGTGTGTGTGTGTGTGTGTGTTTGAATGTTTATGTGCGTAGGTGTGTGAGGTAAGTTTTAAACGTACTGTTAATTTACCTCTGATGTGCTGTGTTGCTTGCTTGCTGAAGTTGGCATTAGGGGAGAGGGTGAAGGTTTACTGGGGTGAGAGGAGGCTGAGGTCATCAGCCACCTCACTCTCATGATCACTGCCAGGGTCGTCAGCCACCTCACTCTCATTATCGCTGTCAATTTGCACCGAAATCTGTTGTTCTCCACTGCCTTCTGTTGAATCATGCATTGCGATAAAGGTGTTTTAAGGTGCTGGGTCTGGTCATCAATCCATGTTCTCAACATCCGCTCCATACTCTATCTCGGCATCACGGAACCTCGTCATCTTCGTAGCCGTCAGTGGTGTTGCAGACCTGGCCATCTCCTTGATCTTGTCGGCGCTTTTAACTATAGAATGCACCGTAGAGGGAGCCAAGCCGTGCACGCGCCCAATCACTGACGTTCCTTCTCCGTGTTCATGTCTTTTTACGATATCCAATTTCATGTCCAACGTAACTGCCACACGTGATCTCTTGGCAACATTGCTGGGAGTTTTAGCAGCTGGTCGCTTAGGCATTGCGAGATCACACAAAACACAACTGCGAGATCACACAAAACTACACGCCAGCATGTGAGAGACTGAGGCGAGCGGGGGTGTATGACGGAGGAATATGTACACACGCTGTCCTACGCTACAGTTGAGGCGTGCGGTTCAAAACTTTTGCTCGTAAGAATTTGCGAATAAATGGGGCAACCATCGCGAATAGTGGAAATGGGTAACAATAAATTGATTGCGGATAAACGGGGTTACAAATACCAAGGCTATGAATAACGGGGTTTGCCTGTACATCTAATTTGGCATATATGGTGCACTCTAGCTCCTATGATTCCTTCAGGCTACACTCTTAACACTTCTCATCATTATTAATTAGAATTTGAGTGCACATTCCTGAAGTCAAGACCCTCATAACAACTGTGATAAATCCTAAATATCTTGCAGTAAAAACAACCAATAAATAGTACAGTAGTATGTAGTGCGATATACGTACAGGTTGGCCGTGAGCTTCTCTTGAGCGGACAAGACAGCCGGGGAGTAAAGCACCAGGGCACCAGGTTCATCAGGGTCATGCAATGGTCGCCTCACACCATTACGACGGATCCCCAAGCATCGAGATCCTCGACTTACATAATTAGGGATGGGAATCTTAAATGGCTTGGCGAGAATTTTCCGAATCAAATCCTCCTGATAAAAGGAAATTTTTGTATTAGCAGTTACAGCAACAACATAAAATACTGTCTATACCTGTACAGTATCCCACTATGCACAGTCGTGAACAAAAGTCCTGTTGCCGATTTTGCTGCTCCATGAACCCCAAGATTAAGACTCGTGAATCTCAAGCATTTATGGACAGAATAATGCATCATAATGCATCAGTGTCTACTGCTTCAGGTTCATGAGTCTGAATCTCAGGGTTCATGGAGCAGCAGAAAAGGCGACAGGACTTTTGACCGTGACTGTACATGATAAGTGTTACAAATGAGAAAAAATTAATCTTTAGCCTGGGGAAGCTCAAGAAACAGCTACATAAACAGCAAAGAGTTAGAGGAAATGATGACAAGAAAAGGCTAAAGTTGCATATAGTAATTCCTAAACACAGTTGCAGACATACAGTACTATACAAGGCAAATGCATAAATAGCTACCTTTATAAAACAGCAATGAATTTATCATTATTCTGTGATCCTGCTCAGAAATTTAAAAGGAGATTCCCATGCCTTTAATATTACAACTTTTTTAACTACATTAGTAAAATAAGCTAGAGACGATAAACTTTGGGTAAAAATACATTAAGAGGAGAAGTGGTGCACTTCTATGGATGTGATCTTACATGAGAAGAAGTTTGTCCTGTCGGAGTATTAACAATTGGTACAAGAGGAGCCCGATAGGGAGAGACCAGGAGCCCTGGGCCTGCCTTTTCTGCCACCTTTTGCCTCTTAGAATCTGACTGGCTAACAGCCACTTTTGGGCCAATTGTGAAACCACAGTCATTCTTCCGTTTAAGCAACTGACTTGGGGCATGGCTCCGCCTCTGTGGAAATTGATAACAAAAGTGCTAATTAAAATGCAGAATGGGGATCTGACAACAAAATTGTGGCTAACCCATGGAAGCATAGGAAATGGATATAAAACATTGATGATGATGAATATCTGTTAAAATCAGTGTCTAAGTGTCCATCTTAACATCTTTCCGTTCACACACACACACACCAGCATATTCAGTATTACATGCCATTTTTTACTAAAATATTCATTTATCTCTTAACTAGTTACATGGGAGATATCAGGGAGTATATCATAAACAATCTTCACTAACTAATAAGTTCTAAAGCCACATTACGGTACAGTGGCTGATGTGTGTTACCACTGTCTAGTGTTATTCATGATTCAAACAGTTATGAGCATCAATTTACATCCATCAGAAATAACAAATACAGGGTCATATTTTTATTTGAGAACCTTAAATTATTTTTACATTTTAGGAAGTGCAATAAACAGTAACCTAAAAATCGGTAGGAATAAAGTGTAATCACAAAAATGTATTTATGTCCTTCACAATGATATGATCAAACTCTTTAGGTTCCTGTTTATTGCATGTCCTAATATAGAGTTATCATTTTGGGTCCTAGAATATAAAAGTTACCCTGTACAGTATATAGGTGAAGATCCCAATAAAACTCCTTTACAATGGAGCATCATTCTAGAAATTTACCTCACTACTCTAGACAAGTCAGAACTGTACTGTAACATAATGTACACAGCAAACAATGGCCTCTTAAACTTACCATTGTAATGTAACTTTTCCCCGACTAATTACACTAAGCAACTCGTGTGTTCCATAGCTATTGATCTTAACCAATTCCTTCCATCCTCCATGACAGCTACACTAATGGGCTTCAGCATCCACTGGAAGCGTAGTACTGTACTGTACACTCTGGAATCTGGAATAAAAAAAAAAATCAACCGGGGGATCTAGGGGGCGGAGCTCCACGCATAGGTTAGATAAACTTTAATTTTGTCATTCCTGTATTTATATATCCAACCTAACCTAACCTAACCCAACCTAGCCACAGAACCCAGGAACTATATCTAACTTAACCGAGGGGTCAGGGTTAAATTCCTAAGATTCCCTGGAGATCCGAAATTAAAATAATACCCGAAGTAGGTTAGTTCATTTTCGAGGGAAGTGTCATATAAGAAAAGTGTCTTAAAATTGTCTAAACCATCAGAAAAACACATTGCTCAACTCAAGAGCCGTGGTTGGTCAACACTACAAACTGACTGATTCTAGACTCACATACACACTAACACATTAGACCTATATCTTGCCATAGCTACATGGTAAATACTGCCAGTCTATCATGCAGTTCCAAAGGCCCCCATTAGGTATTTTTGCATTTACACATTCCACATTCCTACCACTAATCTATTATCATATTCTAATAAGACGTCTAATTATAAGATCATTTACATCGATTACATTGCCGTCGCAAATGTATAATAACAGAGATAGCATAACCAAAATTTTATCTATTTTCTTCCATTAATCTTCCGCCATTATTGCCTACCTCACCTCTCAGACTGCGTGTCTCCTTCATAAATCATCACGCGCATGCGTTCCCATACACGTCACGCGACCAATCAAAAGCGTTTTTTGGAGGGCAACCAATTAAAACGATTTGTGGTTTAATTCGTGGTATTTTTGGCCCAATCAAAATCGATTTTTATTTTGGGTCTCATATTTTGAAATTCAAATTCATTTCCGACCATGGAAGTCTGTGATGGGTGTCACTTAAATTATATGGAGCTGATTGCGAGTTTTGGGAAAAAACGAAGAAACTATAGCATTTTTTCGATCGCATGGTGTTCTTCCAACCTCAGTAAAGTGTCATAAGTGCAAGACTGAATGTAAATATCGCAAAGAAAAACACACTGTATGCGGCATTGTGTAAGAATCTGAGAATCCAACGACGAACAAGAACCAGCCCAATAAGGTAAGAAATAGGTGATTCCATCATATGGTGCGAGTCAGTTAGGTTAGGTCAGGTTTGGTTTTTGTTTTTCTAGTGTGTTTTGGTGTATTTTTTATTCGCTTAGCCATTATTTTTTTTTTAAAAACGTCCCACGGAAAAAAAAAACGATAAAAAACAGCCAATTTCCGACGGAAATGAAGGTCATATTCGGTCTAAACACACACAAATACAATAGAAAAATATATTTTTGACTTTCTAACAGAGTGGGAGGTGAAAGTGCATATTTACCCCCCATTATTGTCAAGAAAAAATTTTACCACACATTATTATAAGAGGAGAAAAAGTCGTATACTTACACCCATGACAGCTGACCTTGACCTCTCTATCTCAACATTCCGGTAAATACCTCCTGCGGGAGCCACGAATTACCCAAAAGTACCCAAAAGTATAGCAAATAAGGGTAAAATCTTAACGAATATCTGTTATACATACACAAAACATGTTTAATAATATTTTTAGTGTAATTTTGTAAAAATAATTTGTAAGATGAAATAATAAACAGCGAAAAACTTTCAGTATTGGCGAACGTTGAATTCCAAAGAGTTGGTGAACAAGGGAGATAACTCAGATTCATCGTGATGCACTTCGCTAACCTAACCTAACCTAACGAAAAGTAAATCCTACGGCTGTGTTAAATACCCCAAAGTAACAGAAACATCGGTAATTATATCTCCATTTTGGATAGGTGACTCTTTGGAATTTAGCATTTTTCGCTGTTTATTATTTCATTATTTTGACATTTCAATGAAAACATTATTAATCAGGTTTTATTGATGTAAAACATATATTCGTTAAGATTTTACCCTGATTTAATATACTTTTGGATACTTTTGGGTAATTCGTTGGACAGCGTCCTGCTGTTCACTGAATAACCAAACCTAATTTATATCACCGACATTAATTAAAAATGCTAATAATAATATGGTGCAGCATGAATATAAACAATGTAGGTATACAGAGTACGTAGGCCGTGGGAGGGTAGTTACCTGTGTGCAGACAGTAACAGGTAAACAATGTTAAACAGCAAGGCAACTTGACCAAGAACCGCCGACAAAGCTGTCAGTATATCTTACATGACATGACGATTAATTCTCACCTTAGTCGTGGGATTGTTGGTAATGAAATGGCACCGTCAGATTAGTCTACTCTCTCTTTTACATCTTCAAACATGTCGAAAAACTTCACCTTTTTGGACAATTTACATAAAAAGACTCAGAGGTAAATCATACAATGGTGGCGGTCTATAAGTAGTACAACATGTCTTTCTTATGAGATTAATATCCGTAAACACTATTTATTTTGCAATATAAACTATTGTATAAGAGAGTTTATAAATGTCCAATGCTCTTTTGTTTTACGTTCTCTCACTTATTTCAGGAATTTATTTGTTTTCATCAGAGACAAACACTATTATAAGAAAGACAGGAAAGCCAGGCGGAAACCGCGTGAGCCACATAGCATATAGTTGGCCGCGGGATCAACCAGTGTGCAAGGCGCGGGTCGTCTGTACGTTGTAATGGCACAGTGGTTCCCAACCTTTTTTCTAGCGACCCCAATCATGCACCTCGAGCCATGACCGCGACCCCCCCACTGGTTAAGGGTAATATATATATATATATATATATATATATATATATATATATATATATATATATATATATATATATATATATATATATATATATATATATATATATATTTAGTGTAAATCACAGGTGAAAATACAAATAAAGGTGTATTATACAAGGAGGGTGAGAATGGTATTATAGGCTTGATTTTATTTCTTTCTTAGTCTCACTACCCCTGAAGATGTGATTACACGAAAGCGCTTGGGGAACTTCTGTGCTTTCTTTCCTTGTGGTTATCAGCATATACCTAGATCACGCGCACCTACAGTGATTTACTTGTATATATATATATATATATATATATATATATATATATATATATATATATATATATATATATATCTGATAAAATCACACGGGAAAATGGAAACAACGGAGGCCTTGTAGCTTTCGTCTTTATTCAAGACATCTTCCTGGGTATAGGGTATAAATATAAATACCTATTATTTTACGAATTGGCAGTGTAAAAAAGGTACTGTAAGGATGCTAAAAGCAAAAATAACATGGTTCAATTATATTCTAGTAAAACAAGATAATAATTTGTCATTAATGTAATACGATTGAATCAAACTTAAAGAAGACTGTGGAGTTTTGAGATTGTTTAGTGTTCACTCAGGATGGGATGGGAGAAAGGAAACTCACAATGTGCACTCATACCAAGCATGTTGTATTGATGTACAATGCAGCTTGGTGCTGGGAAGGCAGCATGGTTACAAGCTGCGGATGTAGAGAGAGCCTGGTTGGTGAGGACGCTCAGAGGACAGCTTGTGGTCGCCATGCCTGCCAGCGGGAGAGGACCGCCAGGCAGGCGGAGGAGGAGCGAGGGGAGTGCTGTTGGCTGCGCTGTAAGTAGAAAGGCAGGTCACCTGAGGTCACCATCAGGGGTTCAGATGTTTGGTCTACACTCAGGATGAGAT